GCAGGACTTCCTTAAGGTTTCTTCCAGCAGAAACAAAGAGCTGGTTTTCTCTGAATGACCAGCTCTTCTAGGAAGAGGCCTCTGCAGAAAAGTATGTCTTGGAAGTAAAATATAATCACCAGTGTTATCTGGTACTTCCATTAACAGCTGTTGGCAAAAAACCAGATTGAGGAACAAGTAGAACCTGACTGCTCCTCCCAGCCACCCAGTTCCCTCAGTTTGCTAAAGCCTGTATGCACCTAACCAAGGACTAACCTAAGCCCAACCAATTCAGATGTGGGGAACCCACCCACGAGCCTGCTGTAGGGGCTCTAGCCCAAACCCGGCTAGCAAAGGGCCAATGGACGTGCCCCAGCCATCCTGCCCCATGGCACACAGGGCCCAGCGCATCTCTCTAGGATCCATCCCATCTGAACCATGTTGAGCTCTCTCCCCAATAAAGAATCTAGTTCCAAGTCACTCACTAGATCAGATACATTAAGTCTGCACAGCACTTTCACTACAAAATAATTTATTGCACCACAGCTCCAGCACAAGCCTCCTATATACACGCACACACTACCCTAACTAGGGGGCCCTTCTCTTTCCCCTCGCCTTGCGCACCTCTTCTATCAGATCTTTCAGATACTGGATCTCCTTGGCCAAGGAATCTGCCTTCTCTTTCAGAGCCTCATTTTTCTTCTCTAGCTCTTTACATTCACCCGTGAGGGCCTCCTGCTCTGCCCTCTTCTTCTGGCGGTACCTAGTGGCTGCTGTCTTGTTCTGCTGCATTTTCTTCAGCTTTTTATCTAGTTTTTCACCCTTTACTTTAGCTGCCACTACCTTCTCTCCAGGAGGGTCATAGGGTTTGGGGCGGACAGAGCCACAGAAGGCATCTGAGGACAGCGAACTATTTGGAGAGGCCCTGGAAGTAGAGGGACAATGCTGCGGAGAGCCCTGATCGGACTCTGGGCTCATACATATGCCACTGTCATTGTCTGAGGCAGCTTCCTCCTCCTTTATGCACTGAGGGATTAGGATAATGTAAGCATCAGAGTCAGACTTCCTATCTCCTTCAGAAATGTCGACCTCACTGCCCAGCTCTAAGCTAAAGGAATGGTCCAGAGTGGAAGACAGGGCCACTGGGGAAAGGGGACGAGGCTGCAGTAAGGTAAAGGAAGCAACCTGGTCGGTTTTTGGTAAACTTTCTGGAAGATGGCCAATTGGGTTCACTGTCTGGGGGGGCTCCTTATTAATCTCCTGGTTTAGGGGGTCAAGGAGATCACACGAGTCTTCCAACGTGGCCCAAAGCTCATCCGGCATGATTTCCAGGTCATCTAAACCTAACAAGGCATCAAAATCAAACTCGTTGAGATCCATTTTCTCCACCATCCAATCTGTCCCGGAGAAGGCATCCTCTGCAAAAGATTTAAAAGAATGAAATAAAATCGACCAGATGCACAAGGCAACAAGTTCATATGATCAGGTCTTACCGGAAAGGTGAGGATTCCTGGGCACTCACCCTTGCTGTTGTCTGAGGCACTGACCAACCCATCCACAGCCAGCCATTCGGAGGAGCCCGCCTTAGCCTTGTCGCTGGAGAACCCATGAGGTTTCAAGTGCTTGGCCACCTCCAGGGAGTCGTCTAAGAGACCTAGGCTTTCTTCAGCCCCCAAGCCCGACTGGTCGAAGGGGGACACGAAGTCCCCCGCCAACACCTCGCTGCTCAGGAAACTCATCTCGGTCATGTTGTGGGGCTTTGCTGGAATCGAGGAATGTGCTTAATTCGAAGGTGTCTTTGTAGGTTACAGCAATGCTGCTGTTGAATGCCGTGAAAAGCCTGAATAGGAACCAGAAACCAAGTCCCATTAACGACCAGTTGGTCAGGAAATTTCATTTTTCTACTCCTGAGGCGGATGGGCAAACTCTACTTCCCTGTACAGAACGGGAAACGTGGCCCCAGAACCATTGGGCCGACTTTCCCTGTTCCCTGGCAGGCCGCCCAAGATGGACGCCCTCCGAGCTCGGCCATTCCCCAACCGGCCACAAGAGGAAGGCGCGCTTCCTCATGCCCAAATACGGCCTCGGCCGCGGGGCCTCACCCCCGCCCCCCGTGACTCACACCGCGCCGGCCGCCGCCCTGCCGCCATCTTTGCTCCTGCCACGTTTCGCGGGGCGCCAAGCGGGGCTCCTGCCGGCTCGGCGGCAGACAATCGAAGGCTTCTCAACCCCTAGATCCAGGCCACTCTCCCCACTGAGGCCTTCGGAACACCCAAACAGCGGCCACGCGTGCCCGAGCGCTCGTAAAACCGCTTCTGCTTCCCCGACACCGCCAGGCCGCAGGGCGCGCCTGAGTAGATCGTAAGCCCTAGCCAACCCAAGGGGCCGCGGCCAGAGTGGTCCGACCCCGTACTTACGCCATGGCTTAAGCCGCTGGGGGGTGCCGCCGCAGAGCCTGGTGCTGCTGCCGCCGCTGCAAAGGCCAATGCTGCCGCAGGCACTGCTGCCTCTAATGCGCCATGGCGGCTGCGGACTTGCGGGAACGGAGGAGGGAAAGCACACAATTGCACAAACGCTCTACATTTGAGGACGGAGGAAATAGAAATGGCCGTAGCAGCTTCACCACGGGTCTTTTATAAACTTCCCTGTGGGACGCATCACAGAGAAAATCCTTCCGCCGAGGCCACGTGACCCACCATTTGTTTTCATCTGTCAACACCCTACCATTTCCAACCAATGACTTCTTCGTTCCGGGCGGAACTCTAAAGAGAGAATGAGTTATTCTCAGGCCTTCAGAAAGGAAAGACGCACTACATTACAGGACTCTTAAGATCAAAGAGTCACACTTCCCTATGCCTCTGGAAGCGCGGAGGGATCCACCAGACACGCCTCGTTTCCGGTGTTAGCTGAAGGGCAGGGGAGTGGCTTCTCTACCCAAGAAAGATTTCCATTGTGAAATTCGAGGCCGCCTTACTCTCGCGCGAGTTGCCAGCGGAGGGCGCGCATCGAGCTGATTGGTCAGACGTGATGAGTAACATATATCTCGAGTTTGTATTGGCTCAGGCCCCCAGGTAGGTAAGCCGTTCCGTGACACTTCCCAGGGTCCGCACGGGAAGGGGTGGAGCTGCTGATGCGTTTCCACCTGAGTCCTGTGTAATCTGCCTGTTCCTCTGGGGGGCAGCCGTCTGCAGTCCCTTTCGCTTTCCTGCCTGTAGCTGGCCTAGATCGGCTCTCCCCAGACACTGTGGTTGTTCGTTGCCCCCCCCCCCCTTACTGTAAGCAGAACTAGGGACCAGGTTGCAGCTGGAAAAGGAAACTAGGCAGAAGGAAATGTCATGTGTGCGATTTCACCACACGGAAGCCCTTCAGTCGCTGAAACGGGAGACAGGACCTCAGGCAGGTCACCTGATGCATGCCCACGTACCAACAAAGGCCAGCTCTCCGTTCTTACTCAGCTTTGTACAGTTGAGACGGGAAGATGCGTAATCCTGTAATCCAACCTATTATATTTTTACATGCCCATTCTACTAAAATATGTTTGCTAGTCTGTTCACATATGCAATCACAGGTGAACTGCTTTTTGGTTTATGTAAGTTCAGAGTCTCTCAGAACACGGAGAGATGTTATTCAACTGGGATCTTTCACTGGAGAGGAATTTCAACCCACTACCCATTCTGTAACTCCCAGGCATCCACTTCCTAGCAAGTCCTAATTAATGGCCCTGTGAGGAGAGCCCAGGCCCAGTGGCAGGGGTTCCTGTGTTTGGAAGTAGCTGTCCAGGTCAGGGCCAACAACTTGCTCTCTATTGGGGAGTTGTTAAGAGTGCTGAGAGCCCTGCTCTGGTAGCACTGTTGGTCAGAGTGTCCTCCCAATGTGCCAAGGTTGTGGGTTCTATCTCCAGGCAGAATACATACAAGAAGCAACCAATGGATGCTTAAATAAGTGGAACAACAACCCACCGTTTCTCTCCTCCCTTCTCCCTAAAATCAATGTTTTCTTTAAAAAGTGCTGAGAAAGCTGTGTGCCATCCATCATTCCCCTCCACAGTCAGACCCTGTGAGGACAGAAACTCAAGATTTGTCTCCATTCACTTCAGTGGGTCATACAAATATTAAGAAGGCTGTGCTGTCAGAACACTTGGGAAGCACTGTTCTAGGTAACTGGCAACATTCACTGGGTTCATCCAGCATGATTTCTTCCCAATGGTGAACAGAGGTCTAACAGGGTGAGGTGCCCTGCTAAGTCACAGAGCTCCCAGTGGAGACAGCATAGGGCAGGGATTAAAAGATAGACTTTAGGGACAAACCCAAAAGAATCCCAGCTCTTCCATTTGTTAGCTGAAAAGTTCTGGTTAGTAACTTATTCTTGCTGAGCCTGTTTACTCATCTGTAAAATGATGTAAAATTGAGTAGTATTCTTATCCTTACAATGAAGTAAAATCACTGATGTGTGAAGCACTGAGCAAAGCACCTGGTACCCAGTAAGTGCTCAGTAAGTGATTACGGTTAGAACTCAGGTCTTCTGACCCTAGCCCCCCAATACCCCCTCCTCAGCTTCGAGTACATCATCCTGCTTCCTCAGAAGATCCCTACTATTTACTGAGATGAAGCCGACAACTCTAAACTACCAGTACACGCAAAGCATACTGGGTGCTGGGACGTGTGGTGTTTCTCTCCCTGTGAGGGATGGTCACAAGTATGGAGACCTGTGTACATTGCCCACTACTCAAGTCTTCCCGGGGCGTGACTCAGGCCCCATGCGGCACGCCCTCTTTTTGAGGGATCTGGATCGAGAGACTTATCGGTGGCTCCTGAGGGACAACCACACAGATGGTTGAGAATTAAAGAAAGTAACCGTGCCCCAGTTTTGACACTGTAGAGGTCGTGCACGATTTCAGTGGCAGTCTGTCCCATCCACTCTGTTATGGAGACCCAGATCAAGGACTCCAATGCTCTCACTGAAATGAAGAATCAGTACACTCCTGTGGGAAAAGGTGCCATACCACACACAAAAGTCAAAGCTGTTGGAAAGGAGGCTTTTATTTTATTTTTCCCATGCCGTGGAAGGACACCATGTTCTCTATTTCCTCCCCGAAGAAAAAGGACAGTTGTTCTCCAGGTCTCAGGGTTAAGCTGCTTGTACATGGAGCTAACCAAGACAGGACAGAAAGATTGGTGACTGGTTCCAAATCTGCCAGCCAAACATACCAACTGCTACTGAAGAGCAGGCAAGTGACTGGAAGACAAGTTGTGGACTTGGTGTCGGACCAAAAATTTAAAGACTACAAGGTGATCAAAATGAAAAGGTAAACAGTACACTGTATCCATTAACTCAAGGACCCCCATGAACCCCCATGTCGGGCACTTTGGCCACTTAGAGTCAGCAGTGTCTAAAAGGGTGACAGCCTCACATCTCTAGTCCTACGCATCTCTTTGGCCTTGAGCTTCAGGAGGAAGGGCAGAGTTCCCAGCCAGGATCACAGTCTCACGGAGGTGGCCCAAGCAGAGGGCTCAGGACATGTGCAGGGACCCTACTTACAGAAACCCCTTGGGGCCTCTCCAGGGCCTTTGGATCCTGAGACTGATTCCCTTCAAACCCACCTGCGCTCTCGACTTCGGTGGAACACACGGGAGCAAACCCAGCTAATCTGGAACGTCCACCGGTGGACCAGCAGGGGCGGAGACCCAGGAAGAAAGACTGTAGGCCTCAACATAGCTTTTCCAAACATGAGCATCAATCATTTATTTGAAAAAAATAAGTCACAACCAAGTGTATAAAGAAAAATACTGGTGTCCTAAACTCATTTTTTGAAGGAAGGGAAAACAAAAATACACTTTGGAATTGACACAAATGTCAAGATGGAGTATATTTTTTAAGCATTAGGCTGTGTGGTTTGCTAACCTAGATGGTGTGGAAAAAAAAAAAAAAAAAACCTCAGACAGAGAAGTAGGACCAGATGCTATGACATCAGAAGAGGCAGGAGTTACTGAGTGGAAACACAGAATGGTGGGAAAGGCACCACATCTTTCCCCAAAGATTAAAGGTGGAGGGGACAGGATGTTCCCTCTTCCTCCCAAGAATCTGAAAAACCTCGACCGTCCATGTTTTATGGTGAGGCTTGCTGAGTTGGTCAGCAAAGCCACCAGGATGGGGAATTCCCACTGCTTCCAGTTCTGAGGGCTTCTAGAAGGTTCTTGTTTGTGAAATGGCAAAGTTACAGATTTTGGTTTTGTGAAACATAGTTAAGAAGCAGAGATGCCCTCAGAAAGATGCTCTTTAAGAGAGGAGATAAACTCAAATCACAATCACACTTAGCTTTGATAATCTGAGACCTGATCTTTAAAATCTTTTTTGAGCTTGGGAAAACTTGGCTTTATACGAGACTGGGAAAACCAAATCCGCCATCTCTGTGAATGACCCGAGCTTTGTCAACGCCTCCTCAGCCCGCCCATCTCCTGGACACTACGCCAGGCACTCACGCAGGACAGCACCTGGGAGTACAGAGTTTCTAAAACTCCAATTTAATTCTGATGAACAGCCAGGGTGGATAATCTTTTTCCAGGTTCTGGGCTTTACACTTTTCATTCTGTTCCAACAGCCTCATAGAAACGAAACAACAAAGCCACTTTAAGGAACCCTTATACACATCTCAGAGGCAGGAAGACTTTCCAAATATAGCCAAAATTAACCCCAGTTCTCAACCCCCTGATCCATGAAAGACAGGAGTCTCTACCCTAAACTCAGAGGGTAGCTGAGGTTCCAGTGCTATTCATAGAGCCATTTCCTGTTGCTGTAGCCGGGAAGGAATGAAACAGCTGCAGAGAGCTTCCCCAGAATCACTGATTGGAGAGGTAGTAAGAATAGAAAAAAAATACCACCACTTCATGGGAGCTGAATGAAATACTGGGTGGGTGGATCAGAAACAGAATTATCAGACTCTTGTCATAAACAGGAAAAAACACACAGAACAAGCAGCACTGGTATTGTGTATTCATCACTCCTGTCCCCACTCAGGACACTTTTTACATTACAATAAATACTGCGATTTTAGCAGCCAGAAACAGGGAGCACAGGAAGTCCCTACCCCCTCTCACATGTGTTTCATCTGTGTGCACTCTTCCTAGGTAGCACCAATCTCCCCAGGTGCTGGGCAGAGACGGGACTGGGGGTGGGGAGAAGTCTGAGCAGGCTTGCTGGCCCTTTGGCTCTGGAGGTGCCTGGAGAGCTCAGCAAACAGCGCCCTCGCATACCTACAGCAGTCAAGCCTGTTCTGGCTCTCGCTCTAAGACAATGTCCTAGAAAGGCAGAGCCTGATGGGAGAAAAATGTGCTCACTGAGTACCAACTGGTGACTGGATCTTCCAGCTGACGTTCTACTGCCTGTCAAGCTCCCTTCAACCTCTACAGCTAAGGCTGGGTTCTTGAAGGCCTCGTCCTGATTGGCAATCAGGGAGAAAGGGGGTGAACGAGGACAGTTGTGCAGAGGTGCTGCCCTTGCGGCTCCTTCCCTCCCTTGTCTGCACCTGACTCCCGCACACAGGGGCAATGTCTGGAGCAGGATGCAGCACAGACGTCAGGCACACAGACCCTCTCCCAGGCCCCCGTACCACCCCCGGCTCTCCTACTCTGCACTGATGGCATCTGGTTTTTCCTGGGCCCTCACTCCTGGGTGGGTCACTAACAGTGTTCCCATGAGAAACCTTCTCAGCAGTACAGATGTGAGCAGATCAGGAGACTGGGGGAATGGGCTTCTCTTCCAGGAACCTGGGTCAAAGGCCAGCTCTTGCACCATCTCACCGCCAGGCACCCTAAATACTGCTTGAGCACTCTCTGCAGAGCTCAGCTTGGAATTGTGCAATAACTTCGGTGACATTCAACGAAAGGCAACATCTGGATCAGGCAGGTGTGCTCCGGGGAAGGAACAAAACAAAAGGTGCAAACTCGAGGGAAAGAGAAAGTCGGAGGAAACACTGAGGAGAGACAGGCCGCAGGGCAGGGCAGGGCAGCAGAACACCGAGCAGTTTCAACAGCTTGGGCAGTGCTCAACCTTCTCAATTCATTCCAGAAAATCAGCCCGGAGCAAGGGGCTGTGGAGGAGTAGGGAGCACAGTGTTTGGTAACAAAAATAGAAAGGGCTGGGTTTGAGAAAATAGGAAATCAAGCAATGTCATTCTAATCAGCATGAAGTGACCAGGGCAAGACAGGAGGCACCTAGGGACCCTGCGAGGCACCAACCGCGTGGCCGGGTGTTTCTGACAGAGGATCCAGAGCCTGACTGCCCCACACCCGCTCTGGCCTTCACTTGCCCTACGTCTGCAGCAGCACCTCCGGCTCAGACAACGAGCAATAGAGAGTGTATCCCAATTCATCTATTTCCTCTGGGGTGAGCTCTGCGAATAAGTTCACCTTGGGGTTGAGGGCACTGGGCAGGACCCCGGCCTCTAGGTACCTGATGAGTCCCCGCAAGGCCTGCAGGAATCGATCGGCCAGCATCCCAGGAGACCAGTCAGCCTCCTCCTGGGCCAAGTGGAGGATGACGTTGGTGAGCTGGCTGGCAGTGAGGCGGCCCAGCGCCGGAGTGGACTTGCATATGGCCTTGAGGACCTTGAGGCACAGAGAGCGGCAGCCCGAGTCAGCCTGGTCCAAAGCCCGCAGGCGCGCCGTCTCAGCAGGGCGCAGGCTCAGCCGCCACAGGTTGTCATACTGGGCTAGCCGGTGCGGTCTGGCCACCAAGACGGTGTCACCAAGGGTCACTGATGGCAGGAAGTCAATGACAAGATGTTTGTCACGCTCGTACTGCACTTCCAGGGTCAGGGCCTCCGGGGACGGTGCTGGCCGGATAACATAGTCCAAGAGGGAGCCGATGGCCGGCCAGTTGATGGAGCCAGCCACGACCTTCTCAAACGTGTCTGCCACCGTCTTTGGGGAGAGGTAGCCCCCGACCACACAGCGGTCCCAGTAACTGCTGCCACGAGGAAAGTACTCCGGGTTCTCACGGCGGACCAGGAAGAAGCCAGGGACGTTCATGATGGTGTCCTCGCCGGGAATGCACGACCACAGGTTCTGCTCCAACACGAGGGGCACGATGAGCTGGATGTGGTCGGCTGTCACCACCTATCAGAGAATCACAGAGGTTTTGAGGGACTGAATCTGCTCAAGACAGCAGCCTCCCCAAACACAGGTCTCCACAGGAACCCATCTGGCATTCCCACAGCAGTGAGGGAAACCAGGAACTGTTCCCTGTCAGCCTTCCAGTTCAGACAGAGAAGTAGTGAGGACCGAAACCCAGGCCCATCAGACTCCAGAGCCCACGCTCAGACCGCATGGTCTCGGGGCACAGAAGTACCAGGACATCCCCCAGTGAGCCTGAAGACCCAGTGAGAGAGAGAACTAGAAAGGGGAGGCAGGGCAGGAACGGAGGACAGAGGATGGAGGGGGCCTCTTACGGTTTCCTACAAGTTGTGAGTATGACCAAAAAACAAGAAAGGGTTAAAGAAGACCAAGATGGATTCAATAAAAAAATAAAAATAAAAAAAATAAGTAAGTGCGATCTATATCTAAAGGAACAAAACAAAGAGGACTCCAGCCGTGACCTCCAAACGCTGCTAGTAAGCAGAGTTCAGAGGCAGCAAGACTTCAGCCTTTCTGGCAAGCCTGGGACACTGACCCTTCTTGCCAACAGCACCGCTCAGAAGCATCGCGGTCAGGACCCAACCCTCGCCCTCGTGAGAACCACCTTGTTACCTGCAGGTCATCGTAGAGGCTGCCGCTCAGGTACATGTCCCGAAGCGGCATGTCAGGCAGCTTGGCCCGCAGGAAGCCCCGGAGCTCAGCACAAATGTCCACAGCAGCTTGCTTGGCCCGAGCCTGCTCACCGGCAGGGATGGCGGCCCGGTTCCGGTAGTAAGTGAGAAGTTTCTCCTGCAGGGACATGCGGAGTCGTGACTTCTTCAAGTCTACCTGGCCCTTCCTGGCCAATGGCTTGGGCCGGGATGGGCAGAATGTATCTGCCAAGGCAAGAGAGAGAAGCACGTCAGCCTTTCCCAGGCTTGCTCCACCCGTGGCTGCCTCAACCCCAGAAAGAAGGGCTTGGCACAAAAGGCAAATGCTGGCACGGTGCCTGGCACCTATGCGCTCAAGAAACGTTTGCTGAATGCAGTAGGGCCGAGAGCCCCCAGAAAAGGCCCAGGAGGGGCAACAGGCCTCTCACCGGTGTCGAAAGCCGAGGAGTCCGTGGGCAGGGTCTGCAGGGAACGGCTCAGGCCCGTCTTCATGTCCTTGTTCAGCAGTCGGGGGGAGCCCATCCAGTTTGGTTCTTCCCAGCTTCTTTTCCCTAAATGGCTCAGGCGGGTGGGGCTGGTAGGGGCGCTGATTGCCCGATCGTACATCTGAAACAGCAGAGAGGCCCCGCACATGCACCTCCGTCTGTTTCCTCCTTCCACCATCTTTCAGTACCTCTGTTCTATTCTAGATTACAGAACACTTTTCTCCACGTAGGAAAGTTCAGGAAATGGGAAATGATATAAGCAACAGACTTATCCATAATGTTAATATTATGAATGTTAACATTTGGTGTATTTCTTTCCTGAAAAAAAAAATAGATTTAAGGAAACAATATCCTACTCTACATATATTTTTGAAACCTTACTTTTTTTCACTTACGACTTTATTATTTCCCCGTATCACTGAAAATGTATCGGTGTTCAACATCCAGGCACACTCTGCCAAGACTGTAACAGTGAACACTGATTCGTTTCTTTACCCAATGCTTACTGAGCGGCTACTGTGTGCCAAGCACTGGTCTGGGCACACAGAGTAGAGCACCAGACAAAGGACCTCCCCGCCCTCATGGGGCTTTCGGTCCAGGAGGGGGGAGCAGGCAGCACACAAACAAGTTAAACACAAAGTACGCAGACAGAGACAGCCATTGAGGGAAATGAAGGAGGAAAGGAAACTAGGAAGCATATTATGCGGTGGGGGTGTTGCTACTTAAAATAAGGTAGTCACGGAAGGAGGTTTTGGTTATTTACAATTTTTTACTCCCTGGGATAAACTTTGTTTGTATCTCCAGTGATTTTTTCGGGGCAGAGACCCAGCAGCAGACTGAACTGACTTCTCTTAAGGTCTCATCTAACTATGCTGAACGACTGCGTCGTGTTCCGGGTCAGCTCCACTCTGCGCAGGTAGCCCCCCACCTCTCCCACCCCTGGCCCGGCTGCAGGCACTTACCCGCTTAACTGCCAGTGTGGCAATGCCCAGCATGGCTGCTCCACCCACCCCCAGCACCAGCCGGGCATTGGAGAGCACAAAATCAATGGCCGTGCCGATGCCATTGTCATCCTTCTTGCCTTTGCGCTCACCAGCGCCTGCCATTGCTCACCTGAGAAAGAAGGCAGAACACAGCCATGACCCCCTGGGACCTCAGGAACTGTCCCTCCTGTCTCCCCACCAGGCCAGTCCCCGGGCAGTTCAGCAAATCCTCCTGCCTCTAACACTGCGTGCTCCAGGGCCGAGAGAGAGAGGCCAGGTCCCCAGATGTATCTGGGTATAAGAGGGGAGCCAGTCACACTTGCTGTGGGAGAACCTCCCCACCAATCCACTGAGACTGCACAGAGCATTAGGCTTACTTCAGCCCCTCCTCGCATTAGAGCGCCCCGGCACGCAGTACAAGTCTCTCCCCACCCATGCTACGTGCAGGCCACCGCTTCAGGAAGGTCAGATCTGAGAAGGTCTAATCTAATAGATTAGAGGAGGCTCATCTTATCCCATTGCATCACTTCACACAGGGAGGTGACTTGCTCCAGGTCCCAGTGAAAGGAAATGGCAGAGCCACCTCCAGAACTCTGGATTCAATGCTTTGTAGCACTCCTTTGTAGAACTCCTACTACAATGCTTTTGCTACTGGATCACATCTACCCTCACCCAAAACAAAAGCAAAAACCCCACAAAATAACACGGACCAAACACCCTGCACACACATACATATAGGACTGACTAGGAGTCCACCCGTGACACAGGTCCAGAAAAGAAAATAACCCTCGTGGACACTCCCGCTGGACAAATGCTGTTTCCTGGGGCAAGGGTGCGGGGCGACTACCCCAGGCTCGGGTGAGGCTGGCACTGTGAGAATGAGGATAAACACAGAACACTGAAGACTTGACTGTTAACTGAAAAACAAGCAAACAAAACCCCCACCTGCTCGCATGCACTTGGAACTTGAACTAAAGATGTGGGCACCTAAAAGGAGTCCTTTGGTACAACACAGGACCCAGTACCCAGCCCAAGAGGCCCGCACACACTTGCTCCCCGGCAACGATGGAGTCATCCTGATTGAAGCCCCCCTGGACCCCAAACAAGCCCATTTCCCATGGAGTTAGAGGCCTGGCCCAACCCGGTAGGGGATGGCGACATGGTTTAGATCTGAACATGGCTCTCAACAGCACTCCTCTCTTCTACCACGTGTCCCGTACACCAGGATTACACAGGGACGGAGCCACATGCCGGTCAGGATCCCAGTACACTCGAAAAGGGCCGCAGAGAGACAAGGCCCTGGCGCACCTTCCGGTATAAAGTAACATTCTTTCTATGCCTTGTCACAACTGAGATCACCAGTTTCACAGCCCACACTCTGCCTACAGCTCTACACACCCCCAAAAGGAAAAGAAACATTTCTGCCTCTACTCTACTTACTCCAGCAACTGCCTAAGAGTCACTGTCAAGTCCAAAGACATTTGTTCCCTAACTAGAGCTCACAACCTTGGTGGCACTTTTCTTTCCTCCACCTTTTAGAGTCAACAGAAGCTCCACATTAGGGACACATAAGACCACTCAGGCAAATAAAAAATAGTCCCACTTCATATGCACAGAGCAAGCAAGGCCAAGAAGAGCTTAACTCTGTACTTACAGGTGGGGGTCACGCAAGAATGCCTGTCATCCTTTTTCCAGTGGCCACTGAGTAATCAGTGCAACCAGGACGGCAGTTCCCACACACAACGACCACTATTTTATTTTTATAAAAGTGAAACACCTTCTACTGGTCTATTTACAACAGGAAGAAGTACTGGGCGGAGGCGCCCTCCAGGTGGTCCTCTGATGCCGTGCAATAGACCGGAAGAGCATGTCTTCCTCCCTAGCAGAAGCCAGAATGAGCCTTCCTGGGCTACTTCATCCCTGGCCCATGTGATGTAGTTACCAGTAAGAGCAAGGCTCTGACTGTGTGATATGGCAGAACAGAAAAGACCTGGGGCCCTGGCCCATGTGGCTCAGTCGACTGAGCACCAGCCTGCGAACCAAAGGGTTGCCGGTTTGATTCCCAGTCAGAGCACATGCCTGGGTTGCAGGCCAGGTCCCCAGTAGGGGGTGCATGGGAGGCAACCACACATTGATGTTTCTCTTCCTCTCTCTCTTCCTTCCCCTCTCTCTAAAAATAAATAAACATTAAAAAAAAAAAAAAGAAAAGACCTGGGCTTCCGGGTTGGGAATCCCGAGATCAAGAACTTATCCTGGAGCCCTGACTAATTAGCTGGGTGACCTCAAAGGAGTCACTTAACCCCTCACTCTGAAAAGGGGATAATGACGCTGCTGTGGCCTACATCATAGGGGTGTGGCAAGGAAAAAACACGTACTAAAATACTGTGTGTGAACACTTTATAAACTGTAAAAGTACTCCAGGTATCTGAGTTTATGAGTAAGTCTTTTAACATTTCCACCTACAGGACAAAAGGTCAGCTTCCAGAAAGCAGTCAGGAATCCAGACTGTCCCCTAAGTTACATGCGACCTTCTGAAACAGAGGTAAGAATGCCCTCTAAGCCCTGGCTGGTGTGGATCAGTGGACTGAGTGCCAGCCTGCAAACCAAAGGGTCACCAGTTCGATTCCCAGTCAGGGCACATGCATGAGCTGCAGCCCAGGTCTCCAGCTAGGGGCATGCAGGAGGCAACCACACATAGATGTTTCTCTCTCTCTCTCTTTTTTGGAAACTAGATGTTTTATTTTCATTGTATAAAAATACTTAGAATTATGGTTTTATAATAGTACTCAAACAAAAGTTGTTATTCTGTTATTCTCATTAGAATCCTCTAAAATCTTTTATTTTAATTGTTGTTCTCCCTCTTTCTAAAAATAAATAAGTTAAAAAAAAAAGAATGGCTTCTAAAACTCACACTGATGCTATCCGGGGCTTGAGATCAAAACCGTGTGATTGAGCGGCTTGTGAGAAGGCCGTCCCACTCTAGTGCGGTGTGTCCCTCCCATCTGAGGACCAGCGACCGGGGCAAGGAGAGTACCCACGTCCTCCAACAGGAAGATATGAGCCCTTATTTTAAAATTTAACTTGTTCCAGTTGAAAGTGCTTGTCGACTGTACCTCCTCCACTCAGGCTCAGCCGCACTAGCCGGAAGCCTCCTGGGAGACAGATACTTTCCACCCACCAGGTGAGGGGCAAAGGGGCCTGGCTCCCCAGGGCGCCTGAGAAGGAGCGGTGTTGTTTAACGGGTATGGAGTGTCAGTTCTGCAAGACGAATTCTGGAGATATTACACAGCACTGTGAATACTTCTGTTTGTTTGGGGGAGGGCCATTTTTAAAATATAACATTTACTGCTTAGATGATTTGATGCAAAAACAGCTTTTCTTCTAATTTTGAATCTGGAAATACAATACAACTGAACACAAACAGGAACAAACAGCACCAAAACCAAATTTGTGATTCTGTTCATGTGGCATAAACACATTCTTAACACTAATGAGCTGACTGTACACTAACAAATGGCTCAAATATTTAAAAGAAAGAGCACGGCCCTGGTGGGCAAGGCAGGGGTGGAGAATCCAAGCACTGCCAGCATTCAGGGGAGTTATTTAATGGATAAATAGTTATTTAATGGACCTCCCTAGATCCGGAAAAACGGGAAAAGGGATACATCGTGGTGGTGAGCAATGTGGGGCCCTGCAGCTTCCTGGGGTGGCAGCAAAGAACTATGAAAACTCCAACTTATTTTGCTTGAAAAAGTCATGTGACTCAAACATGTCACAAGGTCATATTGTTGTCTCCAACTTCTCAGAGGAAGAAACTGAGGCAAAGGTTAATAGCCCAGGGTCACCATGGCAACAAGTTGTATGGAGATTTGAACCTAGAGCTCATGCTGCCGCGTAGTAGTAGTTTACAGGGGCCTCAGGTGACTTGCTCACACTTTCCCTGTATTAACCACTACACCACAGCTTCTTGGGGGCGTTTTGGCTCCTTCATTGCTACCACCCAGGGCCAGCAGTGTTTGACACATAGTAAATATTTGTTGCATAAATGGCTTCTCTTTTTTTGGCAAGAGTGACTGCAACCTGTAACCCAACTCACAGTCAAAACAGATGAGGAGCATAAAGACTCCGTAACTCACTGTTTCATTCCAGGCCCCCACAGGCGACCACCCATCCCAGCCCTACACTGCCAAAGGCTGGCCTGCCAATCAACTGAAGTGGTTTGAGCAGAAACAAAAGCCATTACATAAGGTTCCTCCTCCTGCTTTCCCTCTGGAAGTTGGAAACAGTACCCTCCACCCAGCTGGCAAGCCTTACAACTCAGCCTTCACTCTCTCTCCTTCTCCTGCCTCTGGCCAACTGGTCACCAAGCCTCACTGCAGTTCACACTGTATTTCCATGTGGCCACTCCGCCCCTCAGTCTCATCTGGCCAGATTTGCTGCCTCTAAACCTCTCACCAGTTTATTCTCCAAGCTGCCACTGCCACGACCCCTCCCCCACGACACTCCACCCGCTTAAAAAGCTATGATGGTGCCCCTACTGTAGGATGTCACAATCTCAACAGAGGATTCAGTGTCCTTCCGGCCTTGGCCCAGCCTCAACTCCTGCCACCTGCCTTACAGGTGCTCCATTCTAGCCACGCCAGACTCAAGTTTCCAGACTACAGAGTACAGTCTCCACCTCTACATCTACTTTTTCTTGCCCATCTACTCAGCAACCTTCTATTTCTCACGAGGCAGACCTCAAATGTCCTCTTTTCAACAGCGACCTGTGATTCCCTCTCCCATTCCCTACCCAGGGCAGTTGTGTTTCTACCCTTTCTGTAAGCTTTGCACCCAACCCTCTAACACAGAGCCGCTCACGCTGGAACTACTTCCTGTTGATCCCACGACAGACCAAGTCCCTCAACGGACTGGTTTAACACACATCTCCATCTCCGAGCCTACAGAATGCCGCGCCACATGGAAAGTCTTGAATGGGGAAGTCACTGAATCAAATATAATCATTAGGTTATTTTTGGTGGGACTTCTTAGTAACAGCGGTATCAGGAGTACACAGAGGTAAAACCACTCTCGAAGTAATTCTAAGTGCTGTGTGAGCACTGTCTCACTGAACTCTCATGATAACGTGGGGAGGTTGCCGTCCATTTCACAAATGAGGAAACAGGCCTGGCAGCGATTTGCTCTGAATCCCTCAGCTGTTAGCAACAGTGCCAGCAGGGGAACCCAGGCACCGTCCTCTAGCATCTGTACACTATGTTCTACTTTGTATTAAGGGTGGTTGTAACAAAATACAGTTATGTCTGGAGAATGTGGTCAGTCCCACAAGACAACTGAGTGAGTACACTGAAGAATGAGCCAGGCTGGAACTGAACCCTAATAGCTTTAACCAATGTCTTCTCTAACATTTTATGTGTAAATTGTTCTATTCAAAATGGTGAACAATCTTATTCTGGTAAGGCTTGAAACTCAGGGCCTAATTTTTCTCAATAAGAAAACAGACTTCTGTTAATACGTCTACAGTTTCTCCATTGACTTTGAATGATTAAACCTATGAAATGATTAAACAATGAAACCTACATGACAAGGGTCCACCTACCTGAAGCTTCTTACTGCATCTGTGAGGTGGGTGTGGGAGGGAGCCGGGGTGTCTACAGAAGGCACTTCTGCCCTCCTTCCCTTGGAATTAGGATGGGAAAGGAGAGGATTCTAAATAATCCCCCCCAGTTTGCTGTGGAGGAAGACCAGGCCCTTTTCCAGCTGCCTCTCCCGGGCCTCAGGATCCTCTAGCGTCTGATTCTTCCGGAACTCACGGCGGATGGAAGCAAGGTAGAAGTCCCGATCAGTGTAGCGAAGCTCTCGGCCCTGGCGCAGCAGAGCCCGGTAGAGACTCAACACCGCCTCTCGGCTCCACGGGGCCATGGGGGACTGGCAGGGGCTGGGCGTCGAGCTATAAGCACAAGGGAAAAAACAGAGCCCAGAATCAGAATAACAGAAGAGCCTACAGAGACTATCCAAAACTTAAGAGTTCTTTTTTTTTTTTTTAATTTTACTTATTTATCTTTAGAAGGGAAGGGAAGGGAAGGAGAGAGGGAGAGAAATATCAATGTATGGTTGCTTCTCGTGGCGTCCCCTGCTAGGAACTGGCCTGCAACCCAGGCATGTGCCCTGACGGGGAATCGAACCGCAATCTTTTGGTTTGCAGTCCACTGAGCTACACCAGCCAGGGCAAGAGTTCTTAATCTAGGTCTCGGAGACCCCCAAGGCCACACTACAACTGAATGACAGGGCTAGGGCTAGACCCCAACCTCTCAATCCCCCTCTTTATGCTGACAGTACAGGGTGCGCTGAAGGGCCAGGGTCTGGAAGCCTAACTGCTTGGGCCCGAATCCTGGCTCTGCCACTTACCACGTGACTTTGGGCAAAGTACTTAACACTTCTAAGTACCAGCTCTCTCCCTTGTACAATGAAGATGTTATGTTACAAGGACCCACTACATAGTTCTGAGAACTGTGTGAGATAATACATGTAAAGAAACAGTGACAGAACTTCACTACAGGGGTGTAGCCGGGTTGAAGACAAGGACTCTCAGCCATACTTGAACCTGGGCATCACCACTAGAGAGCTGATCACCTTGGGCAAGTTTCCTCACCCCTCTGTGCTTATTTCAGCTCCTCATCTGTAAGATAAAGATTAAAACTGCATCCTGCCCATACAGTTTGTATGAAGATGGAATGAATTAAGGCATGAAAGTGTGTTTAGAACAGCACTTGGCACATACAAAGCACTCTAACAGGGACAGCTATTACTACTGCCACTGAGCCTGGTGTGTAAGGGCTCAACGAGTCCTATATTTAGTTCCACATAAGCTGCCACTACCCTCCTTCAGTAACAATAAACCCTTTTACAAGTACGGAGTGTTATCACTGGTAAAGTGCTTTGTCATCTATTACCATATTTAAATTAAGAAACCTAGGAAGTGGCCAAGGCTCATAGTAATAATAGTGAACACTTACTGTTTACATACCACGCAGGTTCCAAGCACATCCTGCATCTCACTCTACCAACAACCCCAGTGTCGTTGTCATCCCCACTTTAAGTGGAGACTGACGCTCCCGGAGGGAAGTAACTTGCCCACGGACACAGCTGTAAAGGCGGGCTGCACCCCTGACCCCAATTCCGCCTGCCTCTGGAAGGACGGTTGGCACCCCGCTGGGGCCTTACCACGCGGCACCGCACTTGCTGGGTGCTCCACAAACTTCCCCGGCACAGCGCCTGGCACCCAGCAGGAGATCAAAAACGAAGCTGAACGAAAAAGGGAATCCTCTCAACGTCCCTACGTGGAAGAAATGCTCGCCGCCGTTTCAGAAATGAAGTAATGAGACTGAACAGGGGAAGTATTTGGTAAAAAGATCTGGACCCAAAGTCAGCTAGCCGTCCCTCTCCGGCCTTACTAACTTCCTGCGCGAGCTTGAGCGAGCCACTGTCCCTTTTTCCTCAACTAGAGAGGAGCCCCCTTCAGCCGCAAGGGCCTCCCGGAGAAGGGAAGCTGAATCCGCGAAATTAACAGGACAAGTGCTTTATGAAGTGGGAAGCGACTGCCAGCCAAGGGGTGTCAGTACAGGGTCTCTCGACGAGTGGACGGTTGAGTCCCGGCAGGTCCCCAAGTCCTCTCCCGACCGTGGGGAGGATCAGCCGAGTCAGGGTGGAAGACCCAGAGGCTGGGGTAGGCCGGCTCGTGGCACCTGAGCGGCTTCGCAGGGAATGCTCAGGGAGGGTTGCGGTGAAACCCCCGGCGTCCAGGCCCGCAGCCCCGGCCGGGTGCGGGTCACCCGCCACCGCCCTAAGAGGAGGCTCGGCGGGTCCTGGCCGGCGGCCCTCACGCCTCCTCGCACTCACCCGCGGACCGCGCGCACTACCACTCCTCGGGATTCGCCTCTCGCCCGGTACCTCTCTCCAGGTCACCCACCAACATGGCCCCTTCACTTCCGGGACACGACCTTGTGCGCGCAGCCGAGGGGAGGGACTGAGGGGAGTTTGGAGGCGGACGGAGGCGGAAGAACTTCCGGCCTTCGCTGCGGCAGCCACTCTCCGGGCGGGGCCAGGAGCTTCATTGGCCCTAGCTCTCCGGATTGGACCCCGCCTACAATCCTCAGCCCCGCCTCCTTCTTGACGTCACACGGGCACGGCCGGTTTGGGGCGTTCAGGCCCCGCCCCGCAGAGGGCCGCGGGATTGGGCGTGCACTCCGCAGAAAGGCAGAGCGCGAGTGCGTGGGGCGTGGGACAGGCCTCCAGACCGTAGCAAGTTCTGGGAGGGACCATGGGAATATCTGTGGGAATTCTGTCATCAGTAACATTCCCAGCTATAGGTTTCAAAGCTCTTCCAAGTCCATTTTCTCAGGTCGATTTCGAATCTTTACTTTCCTTCGTGCTGTTCCAGCTTCCCAGGCCTCTTGGCTCTTGGCAAACTCCTACCAAAGTCCACCTCAGATGTCACCTCTGGAAGTCTTCCAGCCCCTTCCTTGCCCCTCATCCAACGCACTTAGGTGCCTCCTTTGGGCCCCATAGAAATGTCAGCACACTAGTAGGGTTCCTAAGCTGGTCAACGACAAAGCAGTTATTTCCTGACACCTGTTATTTGCACAGGCACTGTGTTTTAATATGCACTGGCTTCTCTGTTTCTCACCAGCTTCGAGGGCAGGAGCCATGTCTTAGGGAATCTATAAACCCCCTCCCCCAGCCCCTCACTGGGTGCCCAGCCCTGAGTGAAGCCGAGGAATGTTGGGTTTTGGAGTCAGGCCCAGCTGGCTCCCTATTCCAGCCCCACCGTTTCAGGACAGCTGCCCTCTGGAAAATTGCCTAATCTCTCTCAGGGTGGGGCTGTGGTGAGGACTGAAAAGTACCTGGCATTCAAGGAACAGTGAGTGGCCAGAGGCAGGAAACCCTGGCCGAGGGTCTCTAACGTGCGCAGCCTTGCCACCGGCAGTGCAGGGAACAGAGACCAAGCCCTGGTGTCCTGGTGGCTCAGCCTCCAACTCCTCCCAGGATCTGACCACTCCCTTGCTCACTGCCACCTCCCTGATCTGAGTCCATGTCTGACTTTGTAGATGGGAAGACCGAGACTCAGAGAGGTTTGGTAATTTCTCTAAGGCACTGAGCTGGGCAGCTGAGAAGCTTGCAGTGGAATCCAAGTCTGTCTGACTCCAAAACATATTCTTTTCACCTTTCCAGGCTGCCCTACTTTGCTCTCTAAACAAATAATTCTGTGACCCGAATAAATCTAAATGGTGACATTTCTAGCTGGAAGACCAGATGACCTTTCATATCCCTCCTGACCCTGCTGTTCTACAGAGAATTATTTTTAGGAGGAAAGGAGGGGGTCCCTTAAAGATCTGCCCTTCAGATAATTTCCCAGATTCTTCTTGTTCTTCAGAGTTTTCTCTTTACTTCCAGCACAAGGCTCCTCCCATTTTCAGTGCTTCCATGGCAACGTGTGGGCGGGGAGAAGGCAGGGCAGCCAGACAGGCGTCCGGCCCTCTCAGTTGTTGGTGGTAACTTTGTAGGCTGGAGACCCCAGCAAGGGGCACTGACCCAAATCTCAGGGCTCTGCTGGGTTTAATGGGCAAGGTGCCTTCCCCGATCTTTGACTGATATTGCAATTTTGACATAACCTCAGGTCTCACATCTGGATGATGGCAACAACCTCTTATGGGGTCATGGTTAGAGGGCACTAGGGAAACTTACTTGACGAAGCAGTAGCTCACACAGAGTAGGCATTTAATTGTGGAATTAATTAACTAATTAATTAACATTTTCCACAAAAGTAGAGGGTTTGGGAGAGATGGTCCATTTCCCCTGAGTCAGGCCAGTCAAGTCTAATTTGAAAGGGGCATATGGGGCGGTGACGAGCATGGGGCAAGTGATTTAGGCTTTGCGTGCCTTTGTTTCCCTCATCTGTCCAGTGGACAAAACATTTTTGCTCCATGGTCCATGAGAACCAACTCTATTGCTCCCAATGTATTGACCAAGTAGTCACCCATCCACCATTTCGTGAGCACCTAGTATGAGCCAGGAGTAGACTTGGGTATGAGAAATAAAACACGCAGTTCCTGCCCTCAAGAAGCCCCGGGTCGAGGAAAGAGTCAGAAAGGCACACAGACAGAAACCAGTAGAGAAGCCTTTACGGTGGGAAGCAGAAGAGCCTGTGACCCAGGGCAGGAGCAGAGGGGTGGGCTCGACCTGGCTGTAGCACAAGGGAGGGAGATGAGGGGATAAAGAGGCTGGACAGGTGAGCATCCTGAGGTAGCCCAGGGAGGAAGTGATGGCCGGCAAGGTGTGCTTCAGGCAGTTGCACCAGCACCATTAGTCTGGAGTCAGTCACGAGTCTGAATCCCAGCTCCTCCTCTTAATGGCTGGGTGACCTTCAACAAGGTTCTCGATCTCTCTGGGCCTTGCTTTCTACGCTTGGCAATGGGGATTAATATAAGTACCTAAGCAATCAGAACTTGAAATTGACTCAAACTAAAATGTGAGGAGAGACAAGCAGGTCAAGCAGATTTCTGCAATGAGAATTATGACTCTGGCTGAGGTTTTAGGGAGCTCACCAGGTGATGGAACAGAGAGCAGTCTGGGCAAAAGAATAAGGTCGTGGGTCATCAGAGAACTCACAGGACTGGAGCCCAGAGAATGCAGGAAAAGGGGTCCAAGACGAGACTGGTAAGGAAGGAAGGGCCCAGAAGGCCACGGCTGGAAACTCGGCCCTGACCAACTGCATTGAGCAGTCTGTGCCGTGATCAGAGACGGGTGTTGGATAGAGCAGCCTGGCCACTCTGTGGGGGATGGACTGGTGGGCTGAAACTGCAGGAGCTCAGGCCGCAGGCACAGCGGGACCCCTTGAGAGAGTCATTGGTGGGCAGTGAGAGTTCCTGTGTGCCAGCGCTTACACACGCCAACCCCTAGCTCTCCCCACAGTCCCTTGCGGACAAAGGCTGAACAGTAAATGGCAAGCAGGATGGAGATGGTTCTTCTGGGAAGAAAAAGGGCAGAAAAGGACAATTCAAGGAGAGGGTTGTTGGAGGGACCGTGTCTGGTCAGTCCAACCAGAATGATGGCACAGAGGAGAGAGAAGGGAGAGTGAAAGAGCAGGTCTGGCGCCCCTTTGCCAGTGGGGCAGCAGGGCGGCAGGCCGAGCACTCCAAGGCGGGCATCTCACCAGTCCCATCTCCTTCACTTTGCCCAGTAAGCTGCCTTACAAATTCAAGCCTCTCTGGAAATGCTGGCTGCTCTGAATTGGAGGGAAATTGCTACTGGATGACAAGACAGCAAACTCGGTCCAGCCCACCTCCGCCTCCCCAACCCCCCCAGGGGCAGGCCCAGGATGGAGTGAAGGTCAGGCACTATCATTATGAGGCTCATGGAGGAGTTGGCTGTAACCGGATCAGCAAAGCTCTGGGATTTTGAGCCTGCCAGGGACCTGGAAATCACTCTCAGAAAGAGCCGCCTTCCTCATGATGGGCTTTGCTGTAATCAGTGCCATCGATCCTGTATTCACCAGACTAAAATCGGATATCCCTGGGCAGGAGTGAGGTTTCAAGCCAGTGAAATCTTTGCTGCCCACATTGTGCCAGGTGGTGTTGAAAAGGACACAGGGAGCCCTGGCTGGCATAGCTCAGTGGATTGAGTGCGGCGCCAATTCGATTGCAACGATTTCTCTCCTTCTCTCATTCCCTTCTTCTCTAAAGATAAATAAATAAAATATTTAAAGAAAAAAAGAAAAAAAAGAAAAGGACACAGGGAATGGAAGCTTGTTTGCTGACTACCCTCCTTTACCAGGCTGCAGGAGTGGGGGCCGGGGGCTGGCAGATGTGCAGCTTCGGAGCCTAGATCCCAGCATCTCCGCTTCCCACCTGTGCAACCGCTGTGAGTTCCAGGACTTCGGAAAAAGTGGGGAAGGCTGAGTACCCAGCCTGGCCCAGAGCAGTTGTTCGGTGAATGTTACTTGGATTCCTTTCACATCCTTTGTCTCCATTGACCTCTACCACAGCCCTGGGAGGGCCAGGTATCCATGTACCCATTTTACAGATGAGGCAGCACCATCCAGGCTGGCTATAGCCTCCACCTGCACTTCCACCTCCTCATCCTCAAAGGACAAGCTGGAAGCCTACATGCTAGACTGGACCAAGAACTGTTCTCCTTGCTATGCTAAGAGCTTTGTAAGTCCCAGACAGTTATGCAAGACAGCTTTCCACGTTTGCTCAAATATTTAGAAGATCTGGCAACACCAGCCTCCCCACCTGTGCTGGGGAATAGTCCTCCCCCTCGGGCAGGGTTTGAACTCCCCGGCTCACCCCAATCCCCATCACTCTCTATTGTCTCACACATGGGTGCTCACTCCATTACCTGTTGGGCTCTTTTGGTTTTCTGGGTCTGCCAGGCCTCATGAGGGTTTCTCATCCTATATGGGAAGGAAAAGGAATCAAAGACAAAACCTGACACCCCCCCTCCCAGGGTCACAATGAGTATACTCCCTGACATACCTTCCCAGTTCCCATCACAAAGCACTGAGCCTTAACATATAGAAAGAGAAAACCGAGCCATGGTGGCTGTGGCTCCATGGATTGAGCGCTGGCCTGTGAACCAAAAGTTCACTGGTTTGATTCCCAGTCAGGGCACATGCCTGGGTTTTGGACCAGGTCCGCAATTGGGAACACGCCAGGGGCAACCAATTGAAGTTTCTCTCACGCACAGATGTTTCTCCTTCTCTTTCTCCCACCCTTGCCCTGTCTCTGAAAATAAATAAACAATCTTAAAAAAAAATCTGAAATGGCATAACTCATTTTGAACTTGGACTCAAGTTCAAGGTAAAAGCCTCAAAAGTCCAGGAAAGGAGCTGCTAGTAGTTCCAAAACAGAATGCAGGGATGGAGAAATGAGAGCTGAGGACATTCCGGTCAGGGGGAAAGTGATACAGGAGGCAGGTGGGTGTGTGTGGCGGGCTTAGGGTCCCTGGGGCTTAGGGTCAGGGTGTAACGAATGGCAGCTGTCCTGGCTGTTGGAGACCTGAGAGTTTACTTACTCAAGCCCTCCCTGCGGCGGCCCAGGGAGAGAAAAGACTGGTCAAATTGTACTTTTTAGCCCTGGCTGGTGTGGCTCAGTGGAATGAATGCTGGCCTGTGAACCAGAAGGTCACGGGTTTGATTCCTGGCCAGAGAGTGCGCCTAGGTTGCAGGCCAGGTCCCCAGTTGGGGGCATGTGAAAGGCAACCAGTCGATGTTTCCCTCACTTTCTCCCTCCCTTACCCTTTCAATTCCCAGTCAGGGCACTTGCCTGGGCTGCGGGCGCTTGAGAGGCAACCACTCTCTCCCTTCTTTCCTCTCAAAATAAATAAAATCCTAAAAAAATAATAAAATCTTGTTTAAAATTGTGCTTTTTAAACTTTTAATGCCTTTGGTAAATTCATCTGGGATTCATCTGGGTGTAAGGGAGGGATTGTAACTAGACTTTTTAAAACATGGCTGTCAGATATTTATAAATTAATCTTTTTTTCTCCCGATGCCATGAAAAACCACTTTTATCAAATACTGTGTGTATTCGAGAACCCCATCTTCAGGTCTTCAGAATTTTGTGACTACTTCGAATTTGCCGACTCCGGCATCAGCGTGACCTTGCCCAGGTCACAGCTCCGATGGGGCGACTGTGAGTTCACAGGGCAGAGCACCGCTGAGGCGGTCAGGTGTGTCCTGAGGATGCTCCAGGACCAGTGATTGGCAAGGTTACTGGCCTCCCATGGCTGCTTCTCTCTGAACCTGTCCACGCCCCCCCCCCGACCGCCGCCCTCTGACGGACCCAGCTCACCTCTTCAAACCCAGCCACGCCACGGGCAGCACTGCCCAGCCTGTAGGCGGATCCGCTGCCTTTGAGTCAGGAGTCTACTCCAGCCCAAGGGGATGGCACAAGTAGCCAGCGTAACGGGGCAGCAGGGTGACTTAGCACCGCAGGTGACAGGGGACCGGAGACTGTGCGCAGGTCATGATGGGGGCAGATCTGGGACGGCGGCAGGGCTGCTGGGGGTGGTCGTTTGTGTCACACACCGAACAAGGACACCACAGCCCTTGTCCACACCTCACAAGGTGAGCCCTGTGGAGTTGTGTGTTTCTTCTGACATGTCTCTGGCAGAGGCAGTGAGTTGTCTTTTTCTAATGAAACCAGCACATTATGGCAATTTTTTAAATTTTTAGAGAAAGGGGGAGAGAGAGAGGTCAATTTGTTGTTCCACTTATTTATGCATTCATTGGTTGATTTTTGTTTGCGCCCTGACTGGGGACTGAACCTGCAACGCTGGTGTGTCAAGACGATGCTCTAACCAACTGAGCTACATGGCCAGGGCCCATTGCGGCAATTTTTCAATAGATGGAAGTAAAACATCCTGACAAATGGGTGCCCTTCCCGATTTGCACACAGGCCTCGGTGGACTGGGGCAGCCCTGTGTGGAGAATGGGTTGCTTGGGGGAGACTGGAAGAGGGAGAAGGAGAAGCAAGAGACAATTTCTGCATTTCCAGGTCAGGGTGTGTCCCAGGGGAGGAGCAGAGCTGGGAAAGACACTAACTGCAGTTCAGATGACGAGCTGTGATGTTTGCACACATTCTCCGTCCTTTGAGTCTCAGAATGTGACCCACCGATGCCCTCCTGCTCGGTTGCTGGCAAACAGCCTTTCTTTCCCTGGGTGGCCGGCTATCCACTGGCCAGGCGCAGGCTGGAGAACAGGAGGAGCCCTCCCCAAACACAGCTCCTCAGCGGGAAAGCCATTCCTAACGTGGGCCTCTGTCCTCCGTGAGCCAGAGGGGATGAGTGAACCCCGACTGAGGAAGGTAGCTACCCTGGGCTGCCAGGGCGCAGGGGTCCTTGGGGCCTGACTGTTGGGGCACATGCTGGCAGGGTCGATGCCAACATCTACAACGACCACTAATAGCACAAGTTAGAGGCCGGGGGGTGGGTCGCCCACCGAAGGGCGAGCTGTTACATGCACCTCACGTCAGTACAATTCAGCGGGATTCAGTGGGTACTGCCCGGCCGCGAGCAGAGCGCTGGGCACATAAAAGTGAGGAAGACACGCCCGCTGGACAAGAGAGACGCTCTGAGGTGCCCGCCGTCAGTGTTCACCACCTCCCTCGAGTTCTGGAGGCTTCATTTCCTCACCTGGAAAAGCGAAAAAGAGGACACGCCCCTCCCCTCTGAGCGACTTCAACACTCTGACGTTTCCCTAGCATTGCCTTCATCATTTGTGGCATTTCCCAGGCTTGGTTTTCTTCTCACATTACACTTTTCCATGATTCTAATTTTTATAATTTCTTTTCCGTTTTTTTTGCGGCTTCCAGTTGAGGAGAAAAAGGAAGGAGCAGGGAAGCCTGCGCCACCTGTAACGGACATGCCTCGCCCTCCCACTAGGAGGCAGTGCAGCACTGTAAGAAGTGGTGGAGACCCCGCTGCCTGGCGGCTGCGTGCCTTTGAGCAGTTTCTACCCTTAATCTCCCTAAATCCTAGCCTCCCCTCCTCCAACCTCCCAGGCTGGGAAATGGGAGGAACCCCCCCCCCCCAATACCATTAAATCCCACAGGAGAAGAGCTGACCCTCCAATGCCCCTGGGTGAACGTTGTGCCTTCCTCCATCACCCACCGCCTGTGAAGGGCTTGGCACCTTGTAGGTGCTCAGAAGTCACTAGCCCCTGCTCTGGCCACCACACTGCAGCCACTCCTTCCCATCTCCGGCCTCGGTCTCCCCATCTAACCTGGAGGCTGCACAGCCTCCCCACAGGGGACCGAGGGAGGGTTCAGAGGTGTCCCCTCCCACCGTCTCTGGGACCTTCCTTAGAAAACGCCAGAGGGCCCTCCTCTCGGGGCCAGTGCCGGTGGAGGAAGCCTACAGGAAACCCCCCGCCCCCAGCATTCCGCAGCGCCAGGTACCATCACGGCCCAAGTCCAAGGTCAGTTTCATGGGGGAGAAAAGGCTAAACACAGAGGCTGCCATCCTCACCTGCCCCAGGGGGTTGAGGACCGTGTTGCAAGTCCACGCCCGGCCCTGCTCTGCCATCAGGGGCTGTATGACCTTAGGACCCACAGGCATGGGCAGGAAACAGCTGATGCCTCGACAACCCGACTGTAGGGCGACTGCTGCCCTCAGAACAGGCACCAAGTCTTTACCCAGATCCCCAGGGAACCCCCTGCCTCAGGAGGGTGGGTGTGGCCAGTCCCGGGCCCACTTCTCCTTCCTTCTGGGGGCCCCTGTCCAGCACTTTCTTCAGCTAATTTCTACCGGTGGGAGGGAAGGATGCCCCCTGGTGCTGGTGGAGGTAACTGCGTCCCTCCTCACCTGCCGTGGCGTCCTGGGAAGGCTCTCACCCCACAGACCCAGCCCTCCATAGCCAGAGCGGCTTCGGCAAGGCCGGAGCTACCCCCTTGCAGCCCTTCCTGCCCCAGGGCACCCCGAAACCAGCCACACAGACACGCTACATACTTCATAGCTGTTTTTATTATTAATATTACCTTAAGCATCCCTTTAAGGGTGAAATGAAATCCAACCATTTACAGAGAAAATGATTTCAGAATGTACATATCAATTTCCCCTTCCAAAAAAAATAATGGTGTCCTTAAATTATACATTTCCCAGGGCCCTGCTGTCATTGTGGGTAAGTCCTGTCTCCCGACCCCAACTGTCACCTTTGCCCCCCAAAGCTCTCCCACACCTGACCCTGGGACCCGGCATGGCCTGAGGGTGGGCTGGGCCTCCTTGAGCCTACAGGTCCAGGGCATGTGCCCCAGGGATAAGAATTCTGGGTGTGTTGTCAGGGCCAGTGGAACACCAGCACTCGCGTTCACAATTTGGTTTCCCTTCGCGTTGGGTGAGTGGCCCAGGGCTCCTCTGCCCCCCAAATTCCCAGCATGTGATGTGATTACATGTGAAACTCTTCAACCCCGTGCCTTGGCCCCCCACCCCTCTGACAGCTGTCATCTCCACCCAATGGCTAGGCCTCACTCGACAGTGGACATGAACATGCCCTCCTGGGTCTGAAAGGAAAGGCGGGGCTGAGCTCCTCCCTTCTTCCCCCGCCCAAGCTGCTGAACTGCAGACCGGCCTGGAGGGGGCGCCCCGCAATAGCAGGAGAGGGCGTGGGGTGAGAAAGCCCGCAGGCAGGGAGGTGTGTCTGGGCTGGGGCTCAGGCACGACTCTGGAACCCCGAGGCTGCCTGTCCAGTGGTGAGCAGGGATGGTGGCTGACCTCTTGAGCCACTTGTCAGCCCCAAGAGGAATCAGAGAGGGGGGCTGCTATAACTCCAAGAGAGGGGTTCCCTCGAGGTCCTTCTAGACAGGAGGGGGAGTGGGGGCAACAGAGCCCCCTCAGCCTTCTTCATTCCTACCCCAGAGACTGTTTCTCAGCCAGTTGCCACACCCCACCCACACCAGGAACTTCTCCAGACAGAGCTGTGGTGAAAGGGACACCTTCCTCCTCCAGCCCATGCAGGAACACCCAGAGAAAGTCCCTGCTGGGGGCCAGAGGGCACAGGGCCGAAGGGTATGGGCAGGGCCCAAGGGGCTGGGAGATGGTGGGCGGGCAGCTATGCAGCCTTCAGCTCAGAAGGGTTCTCATCCCTTAGACTGACAGACAGACAAACGGGCAGCCCCTGCAACCCCTTCAGCCTTGCTTTCCGGACTCCCCAAGGGCTTTCTGCCTCAGTCATTTTGGGGAGCTGCAGAAGGTGGGGTCACAGGCTCTGGATTCTGAGGAAGGGGGGCCATCCACACACAAGTATTATGTATAGGGACACAGCGACACAGACACATACGTAAGTACACACAAGCATGCACCCATGCCCATAAATACACACACACATACCATTCCACAGGCAGCCTCTGCGTCCTGGTGTTATCAGGTGAGCATCTACTGGGGCCTCAGGGACTGAGTGGCCCACCCTTCCCATAACTGCAGGCTCTCAGTGCACCCCAGCCCCGGGCTGGCAGGGAGGGGGCAGATTGTTCCAGGAGCTCCACACAAGGCAGGATGATCTTATGACTGCAACAGTCGTTTCTACGCTCTCTCCCCTTGCCCCTATACCCGCCTTCCTGTAATGTAAAAGAACTAAGTTGACGCTGAGCTCACGGCAGCTCAGCTTCCCTTGCAGCTACCTGTGACCAGCAAGATGCTGTCAGAAGTGACTTTGCCATCTCTGGCTCACGCCACTAACAGGAAAGGCTCTGCGCTTCCCTTGCCTTTCTCTGCCGGCCCCAGGCCTGGGTGCACGTGTGCCGGTGGGAACTGGGGCAGGTGCCCTAACAATAACTGGAAGGTGTGTGTGAGGAGAGCAGAGCCGCCCTCCTCAATCCAGACCACTTCCCTCCAGAGGGTTAAATCCAAAACGAGCTTCTGTCTCACTTAAACCACTCACTGTATTTCGGGGTCTCTTAATTACAGCAGCTTAGAATCTACTTCCGTGAGTCCATCTCCTGCCCTCACGAGGCATGCTATGAGGAATGAGATAACATACAACTGGCCATAATGTCCCTCATGGCCCCTTCCTGGCCCCCAGCCAGCACCAAAGAGGGGCACAGGGGCAACTCCACCTCAGATGGTGGAGAGCCAGGGCTGTGGACTCCAGTGGGAAGGGGTGATGGGGGGCCCCGGGGGCTCACCTACTAGGCTGGCTGATGCCCTGTGCCACCCTGAGAACTGAACTCCTGGCCTTGCAGGGACTAGCAAGTAGCCCACAAGACAGCAATGTAGAAAGTAAAAAGGAACATCAAAGCCAGGCCCAGACTCCCCAGGCCCCACCCCTATGTCGGCTTGGGAGGGGCTGGGGGACACAGCTGGCACAGTGGTGCCCCTGTGGGGCGGGCAGGTGGTGGTCTGGGCTCCTTCTGGCCCAGCACTTCTGAGGACACTGTGCTACTCCCAGCTGGGTGCTCTTTGTTTATCCTCTCCTTTCTTGGTGTCCCCTCTTCCTCTTGGGCCCAAACAATTATTTACAGAGCCTGGGGACCTCCTGGCACGTACCTTCCAACTGCAGGTCCAAAACACCAAGAAGCCAAATGGCGGGCTTCTCCCCAGGGGGCCTCAGCTTCCACTGAGCACGGAGTTCCTCCGCGCCCTCCCCCACCCTCCCCCGGCACCCAGAAACGTTCATGCACTCTCCACCGACACCACCTGGCCACAGCCCTCTTGGAGGGCAGAAGGGTTGGGCTCCCTCTCCTGTCAAGGAATGATGCTTTTTGAGCTCACAGGCCTGACCCCTGAGTCACAAGGGCTTGAACAGGGAAGATTCCCCCACCCATCCACTCCTGGTCCTCTCAAGAACCCCTCTGGGGTCAGGGAGATGACGGAAGTCGCCACCCGCTGTCCTGCCACTGGCCCTGTAAGATCGCACAACCTTAGCCTTCCATCGCTTCCGATTTGGCCCTGGCGGGCGGCTGTCCATCGGAACCCCTGTTCCGCGGCGCCCCTTCCGCCGTGCTCTTGGGCTTCTTGTAGGGGTTGTCCAGCAGGTAGCGGAACTGGTTGTAGTTCTGGAGCAGGTACTTGGGGGCATACATGTGTTCGCTGGGGTCGGCCGGCGGGTACTCCTGACGCGTGCCGTCAAACCAGCCCCCCGTGCGGATCAAGCTCCGAATGTAGTTGAGGTCCCGCTTGTCCTCGTAGTCTCCCCAGCGCGGGAAGTCACCGTTCTGGGCCGACACGAGCTTGAAGTAGATGCCCTCGGGCGTGAAGCACCAGGAGCAGTGCCAGCCCGCGAAGTGCAGGGGGCTGCCCAGCGACCACTGCACCAGGATGTGGCCCGTGCGGTTCTCGTACTGCCGGAAGGTGGGCATGGTGTAGTACTGGCGGCGGCGCAGGCGGATGCCGTCCAGCCCGTACACCGACTGCAGCATGTCCACCGTGCAGCCCGACACCACCTCCAGGGTGCCCGGCTGCTTCCAGAAGAAGCCGTAGAGCGACTTGCGCATGTGGAAGGCGAACGGCTCGGTCCAGCCGTCGTAGAGCTTGAGGAAGAGCACGCCGTCGCGCGCCGGGATCTCGTCGGCGTCGTCGATGATGAAGACGTCATCGGGCCGCAGGTTGCGCAGGCGCGCCACGCCGTCCTGCGTCAGGAACGTGCGCAGGTAGTCATCGGCGATCCAGCCGTCTTGCCGCCCGCCCGGCGGGAAGTGGTCCAGGAAGACGTAGAGCACCTTGTGCCGGATGTACTCGAACGTGCCGTTGGTCAGCATCTCCCGGAACTTCAGCGGCCGCGGCTCCCCGTAGGCCGTGAAGTTGGACTCGCACACCACAAAGGCGTCCACCACGTCGCCCAGCTCGTGGAAGCGCACGTCCAGCAGGTCGAACTCGTGGTTGATGTTGATGGCGTTGATGACGCGCCGCGGCACCTCCCTGGGCACCAGGCGCTCCTTGGTGGGCAGGTTGGAGTACTGCACCACGGTGGGCACACCGCAGCTGGGCCCGTGCCAGCCCGGGAGGCACACGCACTCCACCCACTTGCGCCGCCCGCCGCGACTCCCCACGCGCTCCTGGGCGCTCAGCAGGTGCCGGACTGGGCCCCGGGCAGATGAGCCATTCCCCGCCTCCGCCTTCTCCTCTGGCCGCCCCGATGGGGGCTTCTCCAGCATCTTGGTACCTGGTTTGAAGCAGACACCCCCAGCTTTGGTGCGCACGAAATACTCAGTGGTGTCCTCAGGCAGCACAAAGTCCATCCGGTGGAGCTCCTCGGTGGCCCTGCTTGGTGACAGTGGCTGGAGCAGGGGCGAATGGGAATACAGCGGGGTACGCAGCAGGTCGGGGCTCCCCGGCTCTGGGCTGGTCTGGGGCGTGACGGGGGCATTGTTCCAGAAGAAGCTGGACACGAGGTTAGGGCTGAGGGAGGCCAGTTCCCGGGGGAAGGTGACATAGGACAGGGTCTTGAAGAAGTGCAGGAAGGAGATGAGGCACAGGCCGGCCATACAGAACATGAGAAAGAGCTTGTAGCGTCTCATCTTCATCCTACAGGGAAGAGGGAGAGAGTAGACGGGTCAGGGGTCTGCATTCCTGGGTGAGGGGAGCATGGGGCTCTTTTGGAAACCGGACCTGAGGAGGCCCTGGCCGCCACCACGTTTGTGAATGTCCTGGCCAGTTGCTGGTGACCCTGTATGAAGCCGCCTCCTGCCGCCAAAGTGTCAAACCTGCTAGTCCAGCTTGCTGTACCCAGTGCCCCTGAAAGCCTATGTGTCAAGGAAGCTCCCCTCCTGGTTTGAGGACTCCTGCCCTTTGCTCACCAGCCCAGCCCCCAGGGACCACCAGCTCACCACACATCCAGCCTCTGCAGTGGGCTTCTCCACCTGGCTCACTGCCCCGCCCCTGCCCCTCACCAGCTGCACTGTTCCAGGTACAAAATGCATCCTGGGAAAAACTCAACCCTGCTGCAGAATCTGCCTGGGGGTTCACAGGCCCCAAAAGAGGGGGAGAGCTGGCAGGCTGCAGGCATGGGGGCCCTTCCCTGCACTGCCCAGGGGTTACCTTCTTTCTTGCTACCTGTCTACCTTCTGATTGTGTGTGGGGAACATTGGCAAGCCTTTCCAATACCTTTTCACAGAAAAAAATTCACAGGTCTCAAGGGACAACATCTAATTCTAACATCGAAAGAATAAACTTAAATGAAAATTCCCCGCATTACCCCATGCCCTATACTGCACTGCTCTCTGGGTGCGCAGTTGGACCTGTTAGAGGTCTATCACTGGTTTTAGGTGCGATTTTCAGTTCTTGGTTTAAAGGGTTTCATAACTATCACATTGGGCACCAAGTCCAATCAAATTTTTGCTAAATGAATAATAGAGATTTTTCAGATCAGTGGAAATAAACCTGCCATTTCCTTTTAAATTCTACATAATAATCCATGGTTATTCTGAATGAATCAGTCTCTATTCATGAGTGATTCATGAACAAAACCATTCTCTCTTCACACAGCTAACTTCACACGAAGTTATCAATTCGTGATGACTACAGAGACATATATATTACAATTTAAATAGACCTTCCATTTTAGATTACCTGCAGTTTATCAGAAAAGTTGCAAAGACAGTACAGAGAGTTCCCTCATGCTCCTCACGCAGCCTCCGCTGGGTTAACAGCTACATCAGCACGGTACCTTTGTCCCAATTAGGAGACTGAAATGGGCACCGCACTGTTGACTGAACTCCACTTTTTATCTGGATGTTCAATACTGAATCTCATGTGTGACCCTAACGGTCCGGCTTGTGCTGTCCTTGAGCCCAGGGAAGTGGGCAGGCTGGTTGGGAGGTTGTACCGTTTTGGGGGGCAGGACCAGGAACTTGCTTGCAATGACCCACCAAGTCACAGGAGGGGTTGAGACAGACACCTGGCCTATGGCATCTGGTGCCTTCGTTTCCCCTCCACAGATCCTGGTGAGTGGCACACTGTCCTTCCACCTCGAAGTCTTTTCCCTAAAGTGTTCCTTTCCACGGCTTCTCCTCTGGTTGTTTCTGTGGGTCACTCGGGTGTCCTCCTGCCACACTCTCCCTTCCACCTCCCAACACTTAAGGTGGTGGGGCACTGTGCACTTGGCTTTAAACCGCTGTGACACTATGCAAGGCGCTTGCCGTTCTGAACCCCAGTTGCTACCTCTGTGAGATGGATACAGAGTTCTCAGCATGTAATTTTCTCTGAAAAGTTCCGTGGTCGGAGGGCACAGAACCACGAATGTCTGACCTAGAACTAAGTGTACAAATCATTTCCTCCAACTCTTTCCTTTTTTTCTTTTTAAGATTTTATTTTCAGAGAGAGAGGAGAAGGGAGAAAGACAGAGAGAAACATCAATGTGTGGTTGCCTCTCACATGCCCCCTACTGGGGACCTTACTTGCAACCCAGGCACATGCCCTGTCAAGGAATCGAACCAGGGACCTCTTGATTTGCAGGCCCACACTCAGTCCACTGAGGCACACCTATCAGGGTACTTTCCTTTTTATAAAGGAGGAAACCCACGGACTTAATGGACCTGCTCAAAGTTATTAAGCTGGGTGAACCTGGGTGGCTTGACTCCTTTGTTGCGCACCCTCCCTGGCCTCACCTTTCTGGGAAATCCTGAGCAAGCCAGTCCAGAACAATGGAGTTGCCAATCCCCTGGCCAGAGCGGCACCTCCTTCAGCTTAAATGCCTGACCTTCCTGGAACCTGCCCCACAGGTGGCTAGCCCAGCTGCCTACTGGGGGTGGGGGCCTAACCTCTGCTGAACATCAGCTGTCCCAGAACAGAGGTGGGGCTGGTCTCCACTAGTGTTTCGGATGGCAGAAGGGAGGGGCTGCCCCTCGGCAGCCTGTTCAGGGGGGTCTTCTGGGCTCCACAGTGGATTCCAGCCCTGCTCTGCAAAGTGAGACCAGGCAGAGCAGGCCAGCAGGGTGAGTGGAGGGGCAATGAGTGAGGCCCAATAAAGGCAGGCGGGGAGGGCGGTTGCCGTGGCAGTGACCAGGTATAAGGCAACCGTGGAGAGAGGTCAGCACTGCAGAAGCCTCCAGAGTGACCTACCTGAGGATTTCAGGGCTTGCCAAGGGAGCCCCGATCCTTCTTGCAAGCTGTTTTCCCCTACTTGGGACCTGCCTCTGTAAGGCACAACCCCCACCCCCGCTGCCTCGCCCTGGTTGGACTGAAAGGGCCTGTGGGCTGTGGAGGGGCAGGGCAGGGCCAGGACTGAATCCCCTGGCAGCAGCCAACAAAGGCCTTAGCAGGTAAGAAGCTCAGGGCGGAAGTGAACACCCTGCTGTATGCAAAGGGGGGCCCTTGGATCCCACCGAGGTCACCATGACCCTGCCCCCCTGGCCAGGCTGGCTCTCAGGATCTGGTTACTCCTGGCCCTCTCTGCCCAAGGGAGGGGCAGGCTCACCAATGCCTGGGACCTCCCTGATTCACTGGGCCCCAGCTCAGCTTGCTGCAGAGAATCATGGAACTGAGCATGTTTCTCTCATCACTTAGGCTACTAGGAAGCTCTAAAGGGCACAGGGGTCAGCCCAGAGTCAGTGCCTCATAAACTGCATTTTCTGGGACACCTTCACTCATAGCTGCTTGTATTTTTTTCAACTTTCACTCCTCTTGCTCTACTTCCTTTTTATCTTCATGTGTTTTGATAAGTGATTCAAATACATCTTGTGACCCAGAGGCACATAAGTAGGAAACAGAATAAATAAATAAGCATTTGGGAGCTGGGGCCTCACTTAAGTCTCAACCACCCTGGGAGGTCTTTGTACTGCCTTTGTCTTTACAGACGGGGAGAGTGAGACTCCGAGAGCTGATGAGGCTTTCCTGGGGACACTCAGTAGGTGGCCTAGTTGAGACTTGAACATAAGTTCTGTTCCCAAGCCGGCAGCTACACGCCCCCTTACAGCCGCAACCGTGCCCCTCCCCAGTGCAGGTGGCCTGGCTGCGGGCTACAGCCGGGGAGCATTTCCCAGTCCACTGTCGGCTTCTTGGAGAAACCTTCAGGTGTGACCACAGAGCTAATGGCCACTGACACAGCCCGGCTGCTGTCCTGAGTGCATGACACGCACGACCACCCTGAAGCCTTCCAACACATAGTGGGGACTGCTGCTACCCCCGTTTCACAGATGAGGAGACCGAGGCTAGAGAAGTGAAGTGACTTGTTCAGCACCACACAATCCAGAAGGGTCAGACTCGATTCTGTGGGGTCAACAGCAGGACTTAGTCCCGTGGTAAAGTTGTCCTGAGCCCCTTCCATCTGCCAAGTTCAACCCAAGTAGACAACAAGGTCCCATGAGGTGTCCCCCGGTGACCTGGCAAGACAACCCAATGGCTGGAACTGCCACCATCGCATGTGACGCACACAACACCCCCAGGGTGCTCACCGCACCTGAATCCTCCATTCATTCAGCAGTGACTACCAGCGAGCATGCCGGGTGCCAGGCACTGTGCCGAGGCCCAGGCGCACAGGGGACCAGGCAGCAAGGACCCCCGGCCCTGAGGAGCAAGGCGTGTGCTTGGGTGAGTGGGAGAAGGGTCAGTCATAAACTAGATAAACGAGTCAAGTAATGTTGTATGTTAGGAAGAGTCGTGCTCTGAAGAATAAAGCAGGATAAAGGGGAGGAAGGGGGCGGGTTGGGGCAGGCCTCAGGAGGAGTGAGACCCAAAGATGAGGCTACAGGGGAGGAAGAGAAGGCCAGTACTCGGGGGAACTGCAAGGGCAGCAGACCAGAGGGAGACGGACGGGTCCGGATCACGCAGGGCCTGGGGTCACAGCCAGCAATGTGGCTGTCCCAGGAGGGCTCTGAGAAGAGGGACTGGCTCTGCCATTGGTCTGAATGGCTCACTTGGCTGCTCTGCGGAGACTGCCACCCCCGGGGCAGGGCAGGGGGGCTCTGTCACCCCACTTCCGGGCTGCCCGCAGGGAGCACTGGCCAGCCTCTGCCGAGTCCAACCCCCTCTGCAAAATGGAATGTGACCAGGCCTGCCCTGCCCACCTTCAACGAGACACTGGATCAGGGAGGCCAGACCAGTCTGTCCTTTTCCCGATGCCCTCCGCAGTGGCCTCATCTCCCCAGATGTCTGTCTCTCCGATGGCAGGACCACGAGCTCACAGGGCAAAACCTGGACACAGCAAGTACTCAACAAGAGTGCCCTGCGTTGCCCTGGGCCTCCCCAAAGGACAGTGCTGGCAGCACTTCCATGCACACCCAGACTGCCCAGTTCCAGCCCTGGCTCTGCCGCTTCCTGGGTAGCCTCGGGCAGGCTAATGACCTTTCTGAGCCTCCTTTTTCTTATCTACGCAAGTTTTCAGTAATAACCCATGTGAGGTGCTAGCACACACCAAGTGCTCAGTGAGCTTGAGCTCTTCTTACTGCTGTTGCTATTCCCCAGCCTGGCAGAGTCGAGAGAACGGGGCTGGGGGAGGAGCAAGGGCAAAGGCTCGGAGCTGGGCCCTGGCAGGGCCTGTCTCAGAGCCGAGCTGAGCAGAGTGGAGGCCTGAGCAAGTGGAGCCTGGG